TTTTTTTCTGACTTCGAATGATAAAGTCATGAGAAGTCAGTATCTATTTTCCTTTTATAATACTTTTGATAATGTTTACCAACATAATAGCTTCTAATATGGTTAGGACATCTACCGCTTTTAGACCGAGTAGGTTTACCACAATCAGTACAAGGAAAGCGTTTGATTGCATTTTTATGAAGCCAGCACTCTTTAGGATTCATACATGATCGACTGCATATCTCTCCAGTATATAAAAGAAAATCACATATATATTCACCTAACTGCATTTTTTATATATGCCTACTACATATTAAGTTTTAAATTGAATAAAAATATAAGTAACAGATAAGGAATTTCGTACCAGCACCCATATACAATTTTATACTATTATTTTACTATGGTAATACATACATGTGATAGATGTGGAAAAGATTTTCCTAAATTAGCAAAACTTCGTATACATCTAGAACGAAAAAATCTATGTAAACTTAATATTCCAAATTCTATTACAAACACAAAGTGTCCTGCTTTGCAGACCCCATTACAACAAAATTTAGCTATAAATCAAATTCCGATACAAACCCATGTTCTAATAGGTGATTTAATCCAATTGGATAATACACCCTCATCACCTATTCAAAATATACCCAAAAATGATACAGAATAGTTTGATAATATGGAAGATAGATATAATATAAATACTGGTATTCACTTTATTCAAATTAGAATTAGCGACCCAGAAAGACCCCATGATAATTTTAATTTATTAAATAATTGGGAAGCCTTAGTTCCTTCCATCTATAAAAAATCTGAGATATGCATTTATTAAACCAATATCTGATCATAAAGAGTATAATGAAATACTATATATGCCTCAATTATTGGCAAAAGCTAAAGACAAAATTACAAGAGTTCTTAAGATCGAGCTTAATGAAAAGGAGCATATAAAGTCAGCATTAGTTGCCCTTTGCTATTATGAAAAGGTAAACAAATCGCTAAAAAAAGAGGATAAGGAAAATAATATAATGTATTGTCATTACAGAAGTAAAATACGTTCTCTTTTATCAGAAAATGATATAGATGACCATATATCTTAGTCAGCTTCAGAAATAGATAAAGATATTGAGGAA